ATTATTATTATTACTACAATTATTATTATCATTATTATCATTATTATTATTGTTATTATTATCACTATCATTATTATCATTACAATTACTATTATTACTATCATCGTTACTATCATTATTAGTATCCTTATTAGTATCATTATGTTATTATTATCATTATCATTATTATTATAATATAATAATGATAGAAATAATTTTAACGATAATAATAATAATGATAATGATAATCATAATGATAACAATGATGCTAATAATGATAAGCCAATTTTACACAAAAAAAAAGTAATTAAAATAACGATCAGAATAAACAAACAAACTTAATGATTAATCAATTAACGAAGAGAAATATAGGGAAAATAAAACGAATGTACACAGGAATTTCGAATCGTAACCACTACCCTTGAAAACATATCCTTTTGCAATTGAAAGGCATCTTGCAACACGTATTGGTAAAGAGGGGAGGGAGAATGGGGGGAGGGGGGTAGAGGGATGCAACATGAGGATCCGACCCTCCTCCCCTAGCCATTAATATCCCCAGCAGTGTCATACTAACGTCCATTATCATATACTAACACCCATTATTCTACTGTTGAGCTCCCCATAAGTCTTTAAAAACGTCAGGGAACTTAGTGTTAGTCATTAGGTCTACGTCGCGTGTATCTCACCCGTTGTGTTATGGGAAACTCAAAGACAGTATGTGGGTGTGGGTGTGGGTATCTTGTGGGTACGTTTGTTTGTGGGTATGTGGGGAGACGGGTGCATGTGTGGTGCATGGGGTGTATTTGTGTGGGTTTGTGAGGGCAGTGGTGTGTGTATGTGTGTGTTTGTGGAAGTGGGTGTTGGTGGGTGTAGGTGTGGGTATGTGGGTATGTTTATGCTGGTGAGGGGAGGGGGAGGAGAGGGGGAAGAAGGGTTGCTCGTGTGTGTGTGCGAGAGGGGAGGGAGGCATATTGTGTGTATATGTTTGAGTGTGTGTGTGTGTGTGTGTGTGTGTGTGTGTGTGTGTGTGTGTGTGTGTGTGTGTGTGTGTGTGTGTGTGTGTGTGTGTGTGTGTGTGTGTGTGTGTGCGTGTGGGTATTACAAGTGTAAAAAAATAATAATAATAATATGCATTCCCTATATCTATCCATTAAATTTCTACTACTATCCACCACCAGCCCCCTCCCCCTCTCCCCCCAAAAAAGAGAGAGAGAGAGACAAAAAAAAGAAGAAAAAAAAAAGAAAACTTAGCATATCTTATCCTCATATTAATGGCTTGATATAAGTACACCTCACAAATTGCCTCTCAAGCGACGTGAGTTACCGCTGGGTCACCTCATTACGATTATTAGAGTAATTATGATTCAGGTGGGATGTGTCCTGGTGGTGGTGATGGTGATGACTGTGGGGATAGCAGGTGTGGTGATGATGGTGATGATGCTGTGGGGATGGCAGGAGTGGTTGTGGTGGTGATGACTGTGGGGATGGCAGGAGTGGTTGTGGTGGTGATGGTGATGATGAATGTGGGTATAGTAGGTATGGTGGTGATGGTGATGATGACTGTGCTGTGGGGATGGCAGGAGTGGTTGTGGTGGTGATGAAGATGACTGTGAGGATGACAGAAGTGGTTGTGGTGATGATGATGACTGTGGGGATGACAGATGTGGTTGTGGGGATGATGGTGAAGATGACTGTGGGGATGACAGAAGTGGTTGTGGTGATGATGGTGAAGATGACTGTGGGGATGACAGAAGTAGTGATGATGGTGATTGGGGGGATGGTAGGAATGATGATGGTGATGATAGTGATTGTAGTGATGGCAGGCGTGGTTGTGGTGATGACTGTGATGACTATGGACCTAGTTATGGCACTGGCAATGGCTGGTGATGACTAGTGTTGAGTGTCGTGATAGCTTACGGTAGTGATAGTGAGGGTGATTTTAACAAACACCCTTAAAAACAAAGAAAAGAAAAAAAACAATAAGAAAATTAAGACACACCAATACCCACCGCACATTCAAACAAACAAACAAAAAACACGATTATATAAAAACTAGATAAATAAAAAATAAAAACAAAAACAAAATCAGAAAATACGAAATCTTTCTCGATACTTTAAGTTCAATTAATCAACATCATACTTAACAACTTCCCGCCTTTGAACGTTATAGAATGAAATAGTTCCTTTGGGAAGCTAAAACTACCATATTAATTCGTAGGAAATAACAGGTTTGATAACAACGGTGTGAAAGAAAGAGAGAGAGAGAGAGAGAGAGAGAGAGAGAGAGAGAGAGAGAGAGAGAGAGAGAGAGAGAGAGAGAGAGAGAGAGAGAGAGAGAGAAAGAAAGAAAGAGAAAGAGAGAGCGTCAGAGAGAGAGAGAGAGAGAGAGAGAGAGAGAGAGAGAGAGAGAGAGAGAGAGAGAGAGAGAGAGAGAGAGAGAGAGAGAGAGAGAGAGAGAGAGAGAGAGAGAGAGAGAGAGAGAGAAAAATGGTGATAATAATATGGTTGGAAAGCGGAATAA